TTTCGGTTATTGGATGTAGGGAAATCAATACCCTCCTTATCGTCATCACTAACGACCATATCATCAACATGAGAAGAATAGTAAGACCCCTGACCGTTCGTCGAAGGAAGAGAGAAGTATCGTTCTCACTCAGAATAAAACCAACATTCAGAATGGTAGTCTGAAACTTTTCAAACTATGCCCGAAGAGCCTGCTCAAGCCATAGAGAGAACAGAGGAGGAGACAAACCATCGACTTATCTCCCTTAGAATAGCTGGAAGGACGTTCCATATAGATTGTCTCCTTCCGGTCGCCATGTAAGAAGGCGTTCTTGACATCTAGTTGGACTAAAGGACAACCTTTCACCGATGCAACGGCAATAAGACTGCGAACAGTCTGCATTTACACAACCGGAGCAAATGTCTCCTCATATTCAACACCATAGTGCTGCTTAAACCCCCGAGGCACAACATGAGCCTTATGACGTTGGATAGAGCCATCCAGAAAGCACTTCAGAGCATACACCCACTTGTTGCCTATAACCGTGACATTAGGGGGGGCGGGGAACCACATCCCAAGTATGTTGAGCCTCCAAAACCTGGGTTTCGATGTCCATCGCCCTCTCCCAAGGATCCAAACCACGCGCTTGCTTGTAGGTAGCAGGAACAAAAACAGAAGAAATAGCCGAGTATGCTACAAAATCAAAGTGACGGACAGGAGCATTAACACGAGTTGTTCTTGTGGACCGCCGAAAAGGAGGATCTGCATCTTACCATTGAGACGAACAGAAACCGCATCAAGCTTCGAACCCTCCAGGTGATGCAGAATACAACCAGAAAAACCCAAGAACCAAAGCTAAGCAAACACGAGGTCAAACTAACCTCAAGGTAGCGAACATAACCAAAAAAACAAATACCAACGTGGCCAATAAACAAAGCCAATAATCCAATAACCAAAGCCAAGCAAATATGAGGGCACACCAACCTCAAAGAAGCGAGCAGACCAAAAGAATGTAACACCACCGAAAAGAATCCAATCCAAAGAATGGAACACCACCGAAGAATCAAATACTACCCCAACAGAAGACAACGCAGGCAAGAACCGGTCGCACAAGGATACAGAGTGATTGTGAATGCTCTAAAAGCCTGAGTTTTGTATTATTGCTTAAGCTGAATATATAGTACATTGTGGCAACAGATTGCCGTGTTTACAGTAAGCCAATAACAGTGTGGCTGTGAAATAGGAACTGAAAGTGATGGAATGCAACAGAAACTTGGAGTGGTCAATATTCCTTATCATGCCCCCGCAAGTGAAGCCGAGTAAAGGCGAAACTTGGAACAAAATTGCTGAAAAGAAAGTAGCTCTGGTGTCATCACGTCGGGCGCACACCTGTCGCCCTTGTTGGCAGTCTTCTGCCGCTTGAAAGATGATGATTTTGATTGCTCCTCTGTTTTCAATTTCTGGGTGTGGGAATCTCTACGGGCATCTAAGAAAAGGGGAAAGAAGGAAAGCGGGGGAAAAATGGTAGGTGGGAGGGAGGAAGAGTTGTGATTGACAAGATAAATCAGTAGAGATAGAGAAGGAGAGATTGAGTTGGATCAGAAATCTTGGTGGGGGAGTACTCTGCAGCAAAAGTGGCAGAGAGAGATAAACCCAGTTTGAGGTAAGGAAAGAAAGAAATCCGTGCTCGCTGAACTGAACCGAAGCTATGGAACAAACACTGCCGGCGTGGGTATCGATTGCGGCCAACAAAAAAATTGTTTGGATGATTCTCTGACTATGGTAGTTTGGTAGTTGAGAAGAGGAATGGACTAGAAATTAAAAGACTGGGAGAGAGGGATTCTGTGGAAGCACAAGAGGGGAGAAAATAAAGGGGAAGAAGAAATGGATTTCAATTAGAATTTAGAACGAGGGAAAAGAATAAGAAGGGCAGGAGACTAAATGGGAATGATAGACTCTCGTGAGCTTTGTACAGAAAAGGCAATCGATATGAGTTTGGAAGAATTTGGGAAAGAAACAAATTATGGGAAGAAGGTCGGAGAAAGAAGGAAGGTAAGCAATTTGGGAATTGATCAACCAAATTAGAGAAAGAAGAAATTCAGGGGTGGGCTGGGGCTACTGAGTTCGACATTTCAGAAGCAAGAAAATGGAGTAAGAACTAAGAAGTAGGGGATTTGAAGAGAGAAAAAATGTGGGGGGTTGACTATTTGACTGGGGATGGGATTTGGTGGGAATGAATTGATAATCAGGAAAGGGAAAAGAGGACACGTGGGAGAGAGGAAGGAGAGAAGAGGGAAAGCCATATGGGTGGTGATTGCCTTAATGGAAGGGAAATAAAGGAAACACACCATTATACTTGTCTTGCCTTTTTCTCTGTCTTTCTGTCAAACAGAACTGAAGAGGCAGAGGAAGAAGTAAGGGATTTGAAGAGAGGACACAGGAAAGGGACGGCTGGGGAGAAGCTGCGCAGCAGTGGTGATCGTTCCAGGAGAGGCGACGCGACGGAGATGATGTCGTGTCGGAGGCAGAGACATGGACTATTGCCGGGATGAATCTGGCCGGCATGGCGGCGACAAAGATGCGGAGAGGACAGAGCGATAGCTGAGCTACGCTCGTCGGTGGCAGAAACAGCAGGGAGAAATAGAGAGGAGAGGGGGAGACCGGCCATGCGGTGGCTGACGGCCGGAGGTAGGGGACTGTTGCAGCGAGACGACAAAGAAGAAGTAGCGAATCGGACATGGGAAGTAGATGTGAGGAAGAAGGGAATCGAAAGTGGCTGGTGGTGGGAAAGTAGGGGTATGCAGGGTGTTTGAGAATTTGATTTACTGAAGGGATAAGCAACCGGGTGAGTTTGGACTCATCTCGCGGGCAAAAAGGAGAAGGAAAAAAAAAGAGGTTTTAGGGTTCCTAGATCTGTAGGCTGTTAAGCAGGAAGCTCTGATACCATGTGAATGCTCTAAAAGCCTGAGTTTTGTATTATTGCTTAAGCTGAATATATAGTACATTGTGGCAACAGATTGCCGTGTTTACAGTAAGCCAATAACAGTGTGGCTGTGAAATAGGAACTGAAAGTGATGGAATGCAACAGAAACTTGGAGTGGTCAATATTCCTTATCAGTGATCACTACCAGAAATCACAGACCCTGAATAAGAAGTCGCAGGATAGACGTCGGCGGTATCCCCTCAGCCCACGAAATATCAGTTTGGCTCTGATACCATGTCAAACTCAACACAAATCATCAACAATAAACAATGCACAATGATAGATTTACGTGATTTCCCCAACGTATGAACGTTGAGACTAGTCCACGACACAAGCCAATAGATCTTATCATTCTGTTGTGTTCTATGAGTACACAGAACACCAAATTCGGCTATCATCATATATACAGTCGGCGCCCCCTTTTTGCCCTACTCCCCTTCCCGTTCACAGAATATTTACAAGGCAAATTATAAAATGGTACATCTACTTCTAACAGCTCCAAGAATTCCCCAATGACACACTCTCTCAAGGGTTCATCTCTCTTCCTTTTCTATCCCAAAACTCCGCTCTCATCTCATGGGAAATTCGCGTATATCTATTTATACCCGACAATGGCAAAGTCACAGCCGTGACATTGGGATTCCTGACGATGGCTTTAAAAAACGCATTGCTTCAATTAGTCACTTCTAGAAAACTCATGGTCAGGACTTTTGATGTCATGTCTGGTGACTTTTGATCGGAGCCTTTGGAAGTATGTCCACCATTGTCATTTTGAGGTGTTTCATGGTCGTGATTTTCAAGGTGTTGACAGTGACTTTTTATCTTTTGCCTCTTTGTGGCCTTCAGATACCTCAAAACTCCTTCTCAAGTATTCTCCCCATGCTAGGACCTGCAATATGACAAAATAACACAACCTAACGTAAAATCAACTAACAAGTTAGTATTTCCAAGGTAAATGGTCGACAATCGATCAAGGACCGAGGTTCCAAATATGTATAACCAAACACTAATCAATGGTATGATGAGGGCGGTGGATGAAATTCGACAGGATTTCTATCACCACAAGGAAAGTGAATCCAAGTATTTCACAATCCAGAGCATGCATTCTTCACCATCTAATATTTGTGTAAAGTCAAACCAACCCCTAAATAAACCTCGGTCTAACTCCATTCGACGCACAGAAACCGCGGAAATGGACACGTTGTCAACCCAATTTGATCCATTGACGATTGACCCGGTCGAGCAAGTGGATTGAGAATTAATTGTCTTATTCCTTTATCATTGTTTAGCCGGAATATGAAAAATGTCATTATATTTTTCATTCATTTATAAATTATATAACATCTTATCTAAAATATGGTTAATAACATTACACAAAAACTTTCAACTTAGAAAATTCAAATACAGTCATATAAATCATAAATATAAAATGAAACCCCTCCAACAATTACGGTTATAGAATCACAAACTGTCTTCACAAAAAAAAAAGCCTCAAAATTTCGATGTAATAACGGTTTTTGCTTCGTGGAACACTTTCCCCAAGAGTTTTAAGAAAAAGACAACCGGTTTGTGTCTTGATAACTAGGGTTGTTAATGAACCAAGCCGCTCATGAACGGCTCGGCGTCCGACTTGAGAAAAACTCGTTCGACACTCGATTTGACTTAATCGAGTCGGCTCGTGAACAAACTCATTAACTAAACGAGCCGAATTCTAGCCAGACCATGTTCAGCTCAAAAGCTCGCGAACAAGCTCATTTAACGGTTTTGCATCATAAAGGATAAGAATTCATGGATTTTATGTATTGAAATTGGGATAAATATTGTGTTTTATTTTGCTAGACTTTGCTACATGTTTGAATGTAATTTTGTGCACAGCTCTAGGTCAATCTTGAGCTAATATGAATATTTTATGACCTGAACTCGATTTGGGCTCGTTAAGTCTATTTGACAAGTCGAGCTCGAGTCAAACTTTCATTTTCATCAACGAGCTAATCTCGAGCTTGCATATTAAAACTCGTGACGAACACTAGCCAAGCTCGAACTTGAAAATATATTGAGCCGACACAATCTTCGATGAACCTGTCTCAACCAGTTAGATTTGAGGCCCTGATAGATTTTTTCAGCTAACTGTAACAGATCTTGAGCATCCATGACGCCGCATGCAATGACTAAACGACGTTTTCAACATGTATTGTCTTAGAAAAAGGTAGAGGATTTTGAGTTCGAACTGTAAAGAAACTATGAAACGGTCGAACTAACAAAGCTAAAAGACATGTTCCTATACCATTCTTCTTGCTCTTCTATCTGCGTTTACCTATCCTCTAAACGTCAAGATTCTGATACATTCATACAAAAAACACTAGGACAAATTCCACGTTTGTAGGTGACTCCCAACCCCCGAAAATGTCTGTTTCTCATAGCTGCTTCTTGTGCGGCTTCTTCTTCAATTGCCTCCTGGGAATGGAGTTCTTCATGCCGATGAAGAAGAGCAGGCCTCCGAACAGCGCCAAGTTCTACAGCAGCAAAATCATCAAATCATTGGGGTATGAAAATAAATACACGATGATATCACATACATGCATCACAGACAGTTTCGATGACGAGAGAGAGAAGGTGATGGGAGCCAGAACTGACCTGAGTGAACTTGATGAAGATGGGGTTGAACTCCTGCTTGCTTGGATCATAGTTGTAGAAGTCGTGCAATATGGGGATGAAAATCAGCTGGTGCAGAAGCTGTACAAATCACAAGGAGATTGATTCAGATTATAGAGGAGGTCTACAACCGATTTTTTTTTCAACCCCAAGCAGCTTGAAGCAAAGTACATACCAGAAGATAAGCTCCGAGGGAGCTGCCAGCGATGAAAAGGAGGCCACCGACTCCTTTCATGGCCACAGCAGCTGCAACTGCAGCCTTAATCTGCAAACACCAACTGAGTCAGACACTAAACCCCACATGAAGTTGAAACAGCAAGAATATCAAGCTGCACACAGTTAAAAGGATTGACTAATACATCGAATTCAGGAACTTCAAACCCTGTCCGCTCCGCCACGTGCTTCGAGAAGACCTGTAGCTTGGGCGCCAAAGTCTTTGCTGCCGACCCTCCATCGGTGCCATAATCACTGAACCTGCAACAAAGATACAAAGTGGTTATCGTCTAACACACTTGGAAGAGCACCAGTAGCAGCTACGATAGACTGCCCCCAGCAACCTCCACCAATTAGAACCACAAGTAAAAGGTGTAACGGAGTAGACGCCACCATGGGAAATCATAGTTTACAAATGCTTAGTTTCACCTAAAGCATCAGCAGCAAAACACTCTTTCTATACGATTCAATTCAAAACGGTCCAGTTTGCCTCACACAGTAACTCAAGCAAATCATACTAGTAAGGCAGCAACACCAGACCTCGGCAAATGCCAACCATTATCTCACAGTGCAATCTAACTGCGGACCGCGCAGTAAAACAAACTCAATCCACGCTGAACAGTAGAATGCATACATGAATCGGAAATCATACTCAATACATCGGAAGTCAAACAGAATTCAACAACCAGCCCCAAAGAAGTTGACTACAAACGGCAAATCGCTCAGCACGAGATCACGATCATGGGGAACCGAAACCAAGGCCTCACTAAACCTAAGCATATCCTAATTACTTAGCCATTCAAGATCTGCGTCTATTTTCACTGTTAAGCAACAAAGCACGACTAAGCGATTCCGATTCCAGGGAAAAAAAATCGCAATCCGCGCAACAAATAAACATAATCTGCAACTACAACAGCCGAAATTCCCTACAGGAGAAGGTGCAAAGACTACTCAATCCTCTACTCGGAAACTAAAATCTGCCGCATCGGAAATTCAGAGTTCTTTCAGCATCTCTCTCTCTCTCTCTCTCTCTCCAAATTCCCCTTTCTACCGAAGCACAAGCGTAAAGAGAGGAAGAACAAGGCAAGGAAAATAGCAGATCTGCAGCGAGGAAGGGAGCACTTACTCTTGCCAGGCAGAAAGGAGGAAGATGGAAGCGAAGAGTACTCGGCCGACGAAGGAAGTGACAGACATCTTTCCTGGTGATGAGAGGAGCCGCCGCGACCGAGCCTCTTTTTCCCGACGAATCTGTCCTGAGAGCTGTTCAAAACAAAGTCAAGGCGGAATAAGGAGAGAAGAAGCAGAGAGATGAGGACGACGTTTAAATCTATAAGATATATGATGGAGATTCATGACTCAACTTTCTTCCATTTCAAATTTTCTGCAACGAGAGTGAAAGTAGGAAGGGTACTTTCGTCATTGCAATTGTTTATTTTTTTATTTGAAAAAAATATCAGTGTCAAGATTTGAACCCGGGTCTCTTCTAACAAGGACAAGAGTCATAACCAATAAGACTAAACAAATTTGTTGCATTTATTTATAAAAAAAACATACAAGAGGCAAAATTCTGAAAATCAAATGACTTTTCCAGCACAGTTAGCTACCCCACTAAGTCTTTCTTAAGCATTTTTAGTGTTGGATCTTTGATTATCATTTATTATTATTTTATTTTGACTTCAATAATAATGGTAATCTATCTTATAAATGGAGGATAATCTTAAAACCGCAATCCAAATATCATTTATTCGAATATTGCATATCAAATTACAATATTAAATATATATGTGCACACACAACCACATATATATGGGTCAGACTGGTGTACTCCTGGAGTATATTATACTTCAGGTACTCTTCGTGAGATATCTCTATCTAGACCATGATTTTTAACCGAGTTTGGGGTATGATACTCTACCCTAACCTCTAATGGATAAACCCCAGGCCCCGATTCTCTAAACTCAAACCCAAAGTTTAATTTAATGGAAAATTATAATTGACCATTGAGATTGATTGGAGCTCAACAAAGTACATCTAATGTCTAGATCATGTGGAGTATACTATACTCTTGGAGTATACCAGTATACTATACTCCTGTAGTATACCAGTATGTGTGTGTAGTGTTTTCTATCATATTTTGAGTAAAATCAAAAGGTAACTCATACCCTTGGTAAGAAATGGCAATCTAGACTTTGAATTAACCTGATTTCGAGACGAGACACTATATTCTAACCCTTGACGAGTGAACTCTAGGTCTTAACTATTTAAATCATAGATCCTAAACCAAGGATTATAAAACCTCATCAGAGGTTGTACCGAAAAAGTCGGCAGGAGGGTATTTTATGCGAAAACTGTGGTTAACCGTGATTCAGTCGTTTCACAACACTACATAGTGCCTACTGGTTTAGTCGAACCCCCGGTACGTTAAGGGTTTTCAATCCTTGCCCTAATCACTAAGATTATGCACATAATTTTTTTGATGTATTTTGATGAAACACGACCTTCGATTATTGTTTCTAATAAAATTGATCTTAGTATATGAGCTTCATAGAATTAAGACCTAGATTTTAATCTGTAAGGGCTTAAGGTATAGTACCATGTCCCTAGCTCCGGCCACTAGACATCATTTTCATACTCAGAGTATATCATTCAAGGTCTATATATCATTTCCTTATGTCATTTTCTTAATCAAAATATGATAGAACCACCCATACTTATAGTTGTGTTATCCTGCTGGAAAGTCATTTGTTCTAAATGTTAGTTGGTTGGACTGCAGTTTTATCAGGGTTGTATGTTGTTTGAAACATTTTGAACTTCATTAGTCCAATATTTTTAGTACTCCTATATTATTTAGGGATAATATCCTATTTTGTGTTGAACTTTGATGTAAATAACAATTTTGGCATGAACATTCAAATAAGTTAGTTTTGTCCGAATTTGAAAGAAATTAACAAATTTGGTCGGTTATTAATATTGAGGGTCAAACATTTCTTTTTTTTATGACTCAACATACAATGTTAAGGTGACTGTGGTGTGACTTTCACGTCATAGGTATAACATGCTATTTTGCCCTACACTTTCAAATAAGACAGTTTTGTACGAATTTTCAAAGAAATGAATAACTTTGACCCAAAATTTAGGTTGCCGTTAATATTGATGAGAGGGGTACAAAGAGAGATAGCTTCGTGCTTTGGGATTTTTGGGGGCCTGAATCAATTTCTTTTTCCTTTTAATATGATTTATGCAAGTAAATATGAAAATATTAGGATATACTAAGGGTCCTATTTTGTGGTCTTTTTTTCTTCTGAAAAATTCACTTTTTTAGACTTTATAAATAAATGACTTGGAAGCCACATCGCAACCGAAACCTCTCTATCACAACTGTCAATATTAAAGGTCAACCCAAATTTCGGACCAAATTTGTTCATTTCTTTCAAAGTGCAAACAAACCTATCTTATTTGAAAATTCGAGCCAAAATTGTCTTTTACATCAAGTTCATGCCAAAATAAGGTATCATCCCTATGACATGGAAGCCACATCGCAATCGCAACCACCTGAGCATTGTATGTTGAATGGATGAAGAAATTTTTAACTTTTAATATTAACGAACAACATAAATTTCAGTCCAAATTTGTCCATTTCTTTCAAAATTTTGAAAAACTGTCTTATTTGCAAGTTCATGTCAAGTTTGGCTTTTACGACAAACTTCAAGGTCAAAATAAGGTATATCCCTATTATTTATGGTCAACTTACCAATCAAAGTAGTCAGTGAAAGTATCAGCAACACTGACAAAGACAAACATATGTAATTCAAAATTAGTTGCACTCAGCCTTAAGTTTGAAGCTCTCTTGAGAACCCGGACTATTTTCTAGGCATCTTCGGGGACTACGACTAGCATGCTTCCAAACCAGCTGATCCTTATTCTACTTTCTATGAAGAGGAATAATATGGGTGTATCTGTTAGACATTAATTAGGGTTACAAATGATCTCATTCCTAAAATCTGTTAGAGACCAATCTTTTTCTTTCCTTCTGAGGGTTCATTATGTATGTTTTAGGAAAAACAACTCTAATCTTGAACTATTTGCCATTTTTAAGTATTGAAAACCTATTATTTTGTATGTTTTTCTTTTCTTCTTTGAACAATTATATTTCTTTTTTCAGTGATATGTCGTATCTTCCTATTATATTGTAAGCATGTTATATGAACATATTTTTTGTCTAGACTTTCCCGGCCAAGGGGCCGGGCCCGGTGCTAGTATATAAAAAAGGAAATGGCGGACGACGGAGGGAGGAAGAGTGAGTGGGAGACGGACGGACAAAACAGTGGAAAAGTAAAAAACTGAAAATCCTGTTTATTTTAAAAAGTATTACTTTTGCCTTTATCCGCCTTCGGCGCGTAATAAAAAAGTTGGCTGCTGGGGAACGTTGGAGGCTCTTTAATCAGGTGGAAGTAAATTCGGACGTGCTATGCGGTGTCGACAGCTTGGCATTTAAACGGAAGGGGAAACACGTCGATTGGCCAATCAGATCTACCTTCAGTGACACGCGTCGAAAGGGTACGGCGAGTGAAGGGGTTTCAAGTGCTTAAGAGAGTGGTCCTTTTTTACGAGTTTGAACTCTTTGGAAATCGTTTCTCAAAATAAATAAAAAAACTCTTTGTCCGCCGTGGTTTTTGCGTAGGTCGGGTCGGGCGGCTAGAGCATATCCGCTCTATTCTATTCAAATTAATTCGGGTTTTACCCATATTCATATCTAACGTAGTTAAAATTGTGTTTTAAAATTTAAAAATTTATGATTTTACGTTTTTAGGTCACTAACACGCTTCTACACAAAATCTTAGCTTTTACAACTTATGTAGTTAAAAACTCCGCTTTAAAACTTAAAAGCTTACGATTTTACGCTTCTAGATGAGCAAAACGTTTCTACTTAGAAACTCGCTTTTTACTACATTGCCCATACCCATACCTACATGTGAAACGGGTAGAAAATCAAAATCATGCTCATACTCGTTCGAGTTTCTGCAGCGGCCGATCCAGGATACATTAAAGCAGCGGCGGATCCAGAACACAGAAGAGCACTGGGCCGAGTTTCATTAAAAAATTGAATAGTATAAAAACATAATGATTATAGTTTTTTTCCAATGTAAATTGTACACGACGGTATTTTAATTTAGTGATGCATCAATAATGGAGCCTACATCCATACCAATAGTATACACTGTTTCAAATAAAATACTTGAGCAATCGGCGAGAAATTCATCGCTCATTTTGTTGAGCAAATCAGTTCTCACATGTTTGATTGTTGAAAAGGTTCCTTTCGTAGTAGTTGTTGAAACGAGCAGCATCAACACTAGACAAATCAATCGACTAATCAATTGGCATTGTGTGTAAATCTCTGCATCCACCAACTGCTCTAGTAAGTTTTCAAGGGAACAAACCTCATATTTCTTTTAGTCTTTTACGTTTTAAACTTTTAGAATTTTAGGTTTCATTGTTTTTTTATACGCATAATCTTTGGGGCTAAAATTTAAAGGTTAAATTTAGAGTAGTGATTTGAATATGGTCATCTAAATCATTTTTCTAGTTATACCCAATTTTATTATAAAATCACACTAAATTGAATGCCTAAAATCGAAAAATTCATAAGGACTATACTAACTACGGATCCAGAGGAAGGCTGGGCCGGGGCCAAGGGTGGCCACCCCTGCATCCGCCACTGCATTTAGTGGCGCAGGGAGAGTGCAATGGAGTGGGTCGAAACCCACCCTGCATTGGGAGAAAAATTGTTAAATTAATGACCATATAAACGTGGAGCAACATTAGTATAGTTCTTGCATACAGTTCTCCATGTGCACAGAGTATGATGAGGTTCGGCTCCGATTAGTTTTCCGGCGACCATCGTTATTTAGGGGGTAAATTGCAAGGTTGGTCACTGAGATTACTAAAAAGGTTCATGTTTGGTCACTAGAAATATTTAATTTCATTCGTGGTCACTAAAATTACTAAAACAGTTCAAGTTTGATCACTCTCCGTCCAACTCCGTTAACTTTTGCTTATGTGGCGGTCAACTCTTATAGTTGACCGTTAAATGTGTGACATGGCAATAAAAAATAATAAAATAAATACAAATTAAATTTTTAAGCTTTCCACCTCTGCAACTATTAAAAAATAAAAAATAAATTCATTTTAGAATTAGCCGCCGTCACCGGCACCATGGACGTGCTGCAAGCAGAGTGCGAATCTGGGTTCCACACCACGGCGGCGGAACTGATCGCCAGAAAATGGATCAAGTTCGGCCTCAAAATCAGCGTGGCGCTATCCATGGGTTCACATTTCGTTGAATTATTAATATAAAATGTACAGAGGAAAAAGAGAGAGCTAGAAGCACAACCAACCCTGGTTGTGATTTTCGCCCTACTTTCCTCCAAAAGCTTAATTTCTCATGAAACAGCCACCACCACTATTAGTATAATCACCTACTTATACTCACTCCCCAATTTCCCTTCATCTCCTCCAATCCTTCACCCCCAATTTCCCTCCATCGCGACCAACCTCAATTTCAGCCATGGGGAACTGCTTCGCCATGGAAACTCCGGTCAACCACTACCAAGCCCCGACCACCATCGCCGCCGCCTCTCCAGGTTTTATTTCGTCCATTGCATATCGTCCTACAAGCCCTTGAAGATTTAACGACCGTTTGTTGCTTTTAGTTGTCGGAAATTGAAATTCTGTTGGGTTGTTGTTCGATTTGGCAGAGTTTTGTGCGCAGCTGAATAATAGCAGCAATGACATCGTTGAGAGCGTCAATAGTAATGGCGGAGATCACAGTACTACAGGCAGCGAACCGGCGCCGCCGGTGGGTAATACAAGGAGGCCGAGCTTGCAGATCTTCAAGCCGACAGACTTGAAGAGCGAGACGAGGAATTTTCAACCGCACAAGGTGCTCAGGGAGGGTGGGTTTGAGACGGTTTACGAAGGCTGGATCGACGGGAGAATTTGGCGCCGCCGTGGTGTGCAACCCAGATCCACATTCTGCTTGCGGAACGTCCGACAACTAAATGGATATTTCTTTTATTTTTTAATAGTTGCAATAAGCCAATAATAAGTGGAAAACTTAAAAAATATTTTTTATTTATTTTTTAATTGTCATGTCACATATTTAACGGTCAACTATAAGAGTTGACCGCCACATAAGCAAAAGTTAACGGAGTTGGACGGAGAGTGACCAAACTTGAACTGTTTTAGTAATTTTAGTGACCACGAATGAAATTAAATATTTGTAGTGACCAAACATGAACCTTTTTAGTAATCTCAGTGACCATCCTTGTAATTAACCCGTTATTTAGGTTTGGACAAGTTTTCTGGAAGTTGGTGAGTTGGATATTTATTGTATTTAGTGAAAAATCCTCTCTCTCAAAGGCATATATAAAAAAAAATTGAATTTTTTTAAGTTGGTGGCAAATAATAGTCGCATTGACAGCAAATAATACTAGCACCGGGCCCGGCCCCTTGGCCGGGAAAGTCTAGACAAAAAATATGTTCATATAACATGCTTACAATATAATAGGAAGATACGACATATCACTGAAAAAAGAAATATAATTGTTCAAAGAAGAAAAGAAAAACATACAAAATAATAGGTTTTCAATACTTAAAAATGGCAAATAGTTCAAGATTAGAGTTGTTTTTCCTAAAACATACATAATGAACCCTCAGAAGGAAAGAAAAAGATTGGTCTCTAACAGATTTTAGGAATGAGATCATTTGTAACCCTAATTAATGTCTAACAGATACACCCATATTATTCCTCTTCATAGAAAGTAGAATAAGGAATAGCTGGTTTGGAAGCATGCTAGTCGTAGTCCCCGAAGATGCCTAGAAAATAGTCGGGGTTCTCAAGAGAGCTTCAAACTTAAGGCTGAGTGCAACTAATTTTGAATTACATATGTTTGTCTTTGTCAGTGTTGCTGATACTTTCACTGACTACTTTGATTGGTAAGTTGACCATAAATAATAGGGATATACCTTATTTTGGCCTTGAAGTTTGTCGTAAAAGCCAAACTTGACATGAACTTGCAAATAAGACAGTTTTCAAAATTTTGAAAGAAATGGACAAATTTGGACTGAAATTTATTTTGTTCGTTAATATTAAAAGTTAAAAATTTCTTCATCCATTCAACATACAATGCTCAGGTGGTTGCGATTGCGATGTGGCTTCCATGTCATAGGGATGATACCTTATTTTGGCATGAACTTGATGTAAAAGACAATTTTGGCTCGAATTTTCAAATAAGATAGGTTTGTTTGCACTTTGAAAGAAATGAACAAATTTGGTCCGAAATTTGGGTTGACCTTTAATATTGACAGTTGTGATAGAGAGGTTTCGGTTGCGATGTGGCTTCCAAGTCATTTATTTATAAAGTCTAAAAAAGTGAATTTTTCAGAAGAAAAAAAGACCACAAAATAGGACCCTTAGTATATCCTAATATTTTCATATTTACTTGCATAAATCATATTAAAAGGAAAAAGAAATTGATTCAGGCCCCCAAAAATCCCAAAGCACGAAACTATCTCTCTTTGTACCCCTCTCATCAATATTAACGGCAACCTAAATTTTGGGTCAAAGTTATTCATTTCTTTGAAAATTCGTACAAAACTGTCTTATTTGAAAGTGTAGGGCAAAATAGCATATTATACATATGACGTGAAAGTCACACCACAGTCACCTTAACATTGTATGTTGAGTCATAAAAAAAGAAATGTTTGACCCTCAATATTAATAACCGACCCAAATTTCGGGTCAAATTTGTTAATTTCTTTCAAATTCGGACAAAACTATCTTATTTGAATGTTCATGCCAAAATTGTTATTTACATCAAAGTTCAACACAAAATAGGATATTATCCCTAAATAATATAGGAGTACTAAAAATATTGGACTAATGAAGTTCAAAATGTTTCAAACAACATACAACCCTGATAAAACTGCAGTCCAACCAACTAACATTTAGAACAAATGACTTTCCAGCAGGATAACACAACTATAAGTATGGGTGGTTCTATCATATTTGAGTAAGAAAATGACATAAGGAAATGATATATAGACCTTGAATGATATACTCTGAGTATGAAAATGATGTCTAGTGGCCGGAGCTAGGGACATGGTACTATACCTTAAGCCCTTACAGATTAAAATCTAGGTCTTAATTCTATGAAGCTCATATACTAAGATCAATTTTATTAGAAACAATAATCGAAGGTCGTGTTTCATCAAAATACATCAAAAAAATTATGTGCATAATCTTAGTGTTTAGGGCAAGGACTGAAAACCCTTAACGTACCGGGGGTTCGACTAAACCAGTAGGCACTATGTAGTGTTGTGAAACGACTGAATCACGGTTAACCACAGTTTTCGCATAAAATACCCTCCTGCCGACTTTTTCGGTACAACCT